CGCAGATTTTTTTTTTTTTTTTTTTTTAATTCTAGAGAAAATAAAGCTCTTGGTATTTTGCTTATGGGTTTACAGGTTAGGGAAACTTAAAGAGAACCTTCTGAAGATTGAAGCCTATTAAGAAGGTGAATTTCCAAAAAGAAGCTTCCTCCTGTGAAGCAGGAACAGGGTGTGTGGGAAAACAGCAGGTACTGATTAGTAATGTTTTCCCCAAAGGTGTCGTGGGACTGGTAGATGTTAATTTTGGAGTTCCATCACATATACTTGGAATCTTTATGTAATAGGAGTTTCAACTGGCACTTAACCTGCAATGCAGACGTGTGGGCATATCTGAAGCCAGTTTGCACAGAGACTGAGGAGCCTATGAGAGAAAACAGTTGTGCAGGAAAGAGGCGTCCTGCATGAACATGACCTATAACAAAGCCACCATAACAGGGGAGGAGGGGCATTTTCCACTATTTCACTAAAATACCTGTAAAATGTTGTCATAACCGGCACTGCTCTCTTAACAAAGTGTAACTCAACAGGGAAAGGAAGCTTTTGTTGTGTAAACAGAACAATGGGCAGCACTGGAATCTTGTAAGGTCCAGAACTTCAGTTACAGCAGGAAATAACAGCTCCCAGTGGGTGATGGCAGTGTCTTAAGGATGTGGCAGCACCCAATGGATGCCAGCTGCGGACTACAGTCTTTTAGGAGAAAACAGTGCTATACAATAAAGTAATACCCAGCAGATGCTAGGCGGGAGACTGCCGTGCCTAGCCAGAATCAGTGGAAAGCAGAACAGATGTTGTTAATCTGAGGCTATTTGAGACCCTACTCTTTATGGGGATTTCCACCAAAATGCAAGTGGAGAATGGGAGGAGGGAGGAGGGGGTGCTTCACAAGACTTACGTCCTGTGTAAACAGATAAGGGAAAATCAGTGAATCCTGGGTTACCACCATTAATGGGATCCTCTTTATGTCCCAGAGAAGGTCTGCGGCATAAAGAGGACGTTTAGGTTTTTGTCTTCTCCAGCCTTCCAGTTACTCAGTCAACAGACCTAAAGCTCTTGCACCCAAACCTTGCTTCTTTCCTCTCCCATAATATAGGTGTCAAAATGAAATTGAATTAACAGAAGAATGGGTCAACAAAATGTGGGTAATCCATTCAACAGAATATTATTCAGTCATATCAAGGAACGAAGCTCTGACACTTGCTACAACATTGAAGAAACTTAACAACATGCTAAGTAAAAGGACAAACATTACATGATTCCATTCAAATGAAAGACTTAGAATAGGTAAATTCATAGAGACAGAAAATAGGACAGATTACCAGGGACTGTGGGGAAGAGGGAATGAGAAGTTATTGCTTAATGAGAAATTTTTGAAACAGAAAGTGGTAGTTTCACAACCTTGTGAATGTAATTAATGCCATTGAATTATATGCTTAAAATGGTCAGAGTGCCAAATTTTATATTATATATATTTTTTACCACAATTTTTAAAAAGTAAGAAAAGAGTGAGTCCCAGACTTGCTTGAGGAATACGGAAGCAGGATTTTGGGGGACTAAATAGCAGGAAACTGTAGGTTCTGAGTCAGAAAAGACTTAGATGTTATAAGCCCAAGTCTTGATTGGCACAGGGTCCTGTTTACTGCCTCCCAGGTAAGTGCTTAGTCTCTGCCAAAGCACCTACTTGCTCGTGATGAGACTACTCTTGAGGTAGCACAGTCTATCCCAACAGTGAGCTTAGAGTCTGCAACTCCCCTGAATTTCTGGTGGTCGCAGTGGCACTCAAAAGGAAATTAGCCCGGCCAGTGTGGCTCAGCCTTTGAGCATCAACCTATGATCCAGGAGATTATGGTTCCGTTCCTGGTCAGGACAAATGCCAGGGTTGTGGGCTTGATCCCCAGTAAGGGGTGTGCAGGAGGCAGCTGATGAATGACTCTCTCATCATTGATGTTTCTCTCTCTCTCCCTCTCCCTTCCTCTCTCTGAAATCAATAAAGACACACACACACACACACACACACACACACACACACACACATAAAGGAAATTAGAATGGTGCAAAGGCAGAGGATGGTGGAGAGCTTAGAAGTGGGCACATGGCCCACCTGGCAGCTGGGATCTGGGACTGGGCTAAAATGGTTTCTAAAGACTGATCTCAAGCGTAATTGAATATCAGGAGCAATAATTGCCTACTTGGAGAAATGGGTTATTGTCTAAGAATGGAGCAATAGCTTTGGCAGAATCTAATATTGTCCTGAAATTGGTTTCTTTGTTCATCTGTGCTATATGTGCTGCATCTTTACACATGTGCTGCTGCTGAGAAACAGATGAATGAAGCACTTTCTCTTAGGCTGGGCTTTGTCAGTGCTCTTGATTGACAGTTTTGGTGGGAGGTGGAGACCAGTGGCCAGCAACCATTGATGAAAACTGATGACAAGATTGTCAGCAGGCAGGAGGAGGTGAGACCTCAGGTACAAGGTTGCTATAGCAAAGCAAAACTACATGCTGATAACCAGTGCTTCCCCACTTGGGTGGCATAAAGTCAAAACACAATGAATAGGAGTTCCCTAGTTGCCATCTTCTCCATCTCAGGAGGTCATCAGGAAAAGTACCCAGAATGTAACAATCCAAAGGAGGCTTAATTTTTACAGCTTTGTAGTTTACAATCCACTTGCATTTTTACTGTCTCACTTGATCCTCACCAAAACTCCACAAGGAAGGGAAGATATGATTATCTTCACTGTTTAGATGAGTAAGCTGAAGTTTAGAGAATTTAGTGGGTTGTCCAAGATCACAGGACAGGGCTTTAGACTCAAGGCCTAATTCTAGGAACTAGCAAGGATAGCAGATTTGGGCTATTTAAGGAGAGGTAAAATTTTATGTTGGCAGAAAAATGTGGAAGAATTAATGAATATTAAAAGATATCCAGCCCGGCCAGGTGTGGCTCAGTGGTTGAGCATCGACCTAGGATCCAGGCGATCGGGGTTCAATTCCTGGTCAGGGCACATACCCAGGTTGTGGGCTCGATCCCCAGTCAGGGGTGTGCAGGAGGAAGCCGATCTCAATGACTCTCTCATCATTGATGTTTTTTTCTCTCTCTCCCTCTCCTTTCCTCTCTCTGAAATCAATAAAGATATATTAAAAAAGAAAAAAGAAAAGAAAAAGATATCCAATGTACCAAGTTTTTTCTCTCTCTTCCTTCCCTTCCTCTCCCTTCCCCTCCCCTCCCTTTCATAGTCTTGCTCCAAAAGAACCTTTTCTTTCCTGAGTTCAAGTTCAGCACTGCATGTATTCATGAAAGTGAGTTTGTACAAGTGAGGACACTGACTGTGGGTGCTTAGTTGTACTATACTGTGCTTTGCATATGGTGAGGTCTCAGAATATGTTGCACTGGCTAAGAAGTGATCTTCCGGGAGCATTCAAGTAAAATCTGCTTAGAACTTGAAGTTTTCCAAGGATATACAGTTATACTGTCTCAATAGCATGCTCACCTAAATTGCTTTTTAAAGTTGTGGTATGTATAGTTTTACCGTCAGGAGGCAAAGCTGTGATTGCAACCATACCCTACGTTTGAAAGATTTCCTAGAGAGTACTCACTTTTATTCTCTGTCATTTCACAAAAGGATCTAAGTTTTCCCTGAATACTAAAAGGAGCTATTTGACAGATTTCTTCTCCAGTGCCCCATACCTACATGTATTTGAGTAGATAGGCAACCTAAGGGAGCTTTCCTGAATGCATATCAAAGGACATAGGAAATGGTATAAAGTCAACCTCTTACATCCTCTTATTTTTTTTAAGATCAAACACTTTTCTTACATAATAACTCCTCAGAAACACTAAAAAACTATAGAGGCAAGTGTAACTAAATATTTAAAGACACGATTGTGGGGAGAGCTAAGTTTGTGGCTCGTAGAAAGTGTGTTGGAACTTTGGGCAGCAGGATAAAAGACTCTTACTTATCTTTCCTTAGAAACTGCCAAAAGCCCTGTGCCTTTATTAAGATATTCCAATGTCTTTATCAGATACCCCAGAAGCACATACTCTGAGCTTTGGGTAGGGGCAGGTAGTAAGGCATATGGGAGGACTTGTTCAATTTAATGTCCAGGATGATGCCCCTCCCAGTCCAGTACTCCTCTCAATGCAGACTTTTCTGGGGGGTAAACTCATCACCCACTGCAGATGGGAGGCTCTGGGGAGTAGACTGAAACATCAATTGGTAATAAAATGTTTTCTGAGAATGAATCTTTGAAATGATACTGGAAAAAATGTGGAGATGGAATTTGTCTTACAAAAATTCACTTAGAAGCACGGTAACATGAGTGGGACAAAACTGTATGATAAGAAATTAGGTAATACTGTTGTGAATCCTGCAGGCATAAAGTTATAATTTAGGATCATCACATTTATTTCAAAAGCCATAGTTTCATCCCACTTTACTCCTTTGCTATTGCTGGGCCTGGTAGGGATAAAGACCTCATGCCTACTTATCTCCCACTATTCTCTAGCCATGTTGAGAGAAGTTGGACCACCAATCCTTATGACATCTGTAGCCTTTTCATTTAATAGTTACAAATTGTCCCCTCTCTCTGCACTCATGCCCTTACAATGTACTGCGGTAGATTCTCTCATCAAGAGGTGACAGCTATTTCTCCATCTGGGTTGGCCGGTGACTTCCTTTGGCCAATGAGACATCAGCACGCATTATGCACACACAGGCTTGAAAATCACTTGTGCACTGGGGCTTGCTCTCTTGCTGCATTTATCACCCTGAGAACACCATGCGAACAAGCCCAAGCTAGCCTGCTGTAGAGTAAGAGGCCACATGGAGAACTGAGGTGCTCTAGCTAATAGCCAACTAGTCGCCAGACTTGTGAATGAGGCCATCTGGAACCTGCCAGCCTCCCAGCCGACCCGGCATCTGGCTGCAGACGTGTGAGTGAGCCCGGTGAAAGCCAGCAGAAGAACCACGTAGCCCAATTCCCAACCCACAAAATTGTGAGCTAAACAAAAGCCTATCGTTTTAAGCCATAAATTTTGGAATGCCTTGTAATGCAGTGAAAGCTAACAGATACATTAAATTACATTTTATTTGGTGCTATTAAGTGACATACAAAGTTAGAGAAAAGGTTCTCCCTGGGCCTAATTCTATCATAGGCTCCCTCTGGTATTTAACTTCCTTCCTCTGTACCGTAGTTTTTCTACTTCAAAGACAATACTTTCATGAAATTCAGTAGTAATTCAAATTAGAATATATGCACATTACACTTTTCATACCTTCTTTTCCTTTTTTCTCTTTGACAGTTTCACCAGAACCCATTATGAAGATCAGATTCTGATACACATTCATTTTGAATGAGATAATGACATATGTGCTTAAGAAACTCCAAAATGTCCTATGTATGAGTATCACAGTTATTGTTTCACAATGAATGAGTTATATAATTGTTACAAGAATCAGAATGGCCCTCTCCTAAGAATTACGTTTTCTCACTGAGAGTTCCCTGCCCGTCTGCCCAGTAGCACCTGGTAGAGAGGCTCCAGACTCACCTGAGACTTGAAGTAAGTTTCCTGTGGGGTGGCAAGAACATCTGCCGATGCGATGTCCAAATGCATTAGTGTCTGCCGGAAAGAAGGTCGGTTGCGAGGTTTACTTTGCCTAAAAGTAAAAAAAGGCAGCTTGTGCATTTCAGAAGGTACATCCAGGAGGATAACGTTTTGTTCTACTTTGTGAAGCCATTTCTGCCTCCGTGCATGGCTATGTCTCAAGCAGTGCTGATGAAATGAAAATCTCTCGCATCAGTGTCCTGTTTGATAATAATCTCTTAGGGCTGGTAGCTATCATTTCCTAAGACCTACTATTTCAACATGTGCTAAATTCTTTATTTATAAATAGTTCCAAGGCTCCTAGTGTTTATACTACCAGGTGATTCACTCCCAATGCACATTAGAGACTTCCCTGCAGTTTGGGGGAAGTTTTAAATGTGGTTTTGAGGAAGAAGGTAAAAGAGAATATTGGGAGAAATATATTTCTTACCATGTCTGTTTCATAAGGATTTTGAATCCATCAGGGCAAGTGGAAGGAACTGGAAGGTGTAGGCTATTGCTTCCAACACCCCAAATAATGGCTGAAGAGTCTACGTCTTTGTAAGGGATCTCTCCTGTCAGCAACTCCCAAAGCACCACTCCAAAAGACCTGCAGTAGTACCAGAAAATGCAGAGAGGACATTTCAGAAAGGCTGATTTGTATTTTAGTTCTTTATTAATTTTTAATCAAATTAAAATTCTAATACTGCTACAAGAAAAATGGAAACAGTCAAGAAAACTCTAAAAAAGAAAGTCAATGAGAGGTAACCAATATTAAGACATTTTTTAAGGCTTATGATGAACTCTGGTGCATGGATAGACAGCTGGACTAATGGAATGGAACAGAAATCCAGAAATAGACGAAATACATAGAGGAATTGCATATATGATAAAAGTGACATCTCAAACCAGTGGGGGAAAATTAATTATTCAATAAATGCTGTTTGGACAACTAGGGAGAAAATTAAATTTATAAGTCATCTTACACAAAGATGAATTCCTAATAAATTGAAGATTTAGATATAAAAAAATGAAACCATAAATATCCTGAAAGAGTACATGGGAAAATTTTTAAAGATCTTAGAGTGGTGAAAGCTTTTCTGATTATGAAATCCAGAAGCCATAAAAGGAGAGAACGATAAGCTAAACAGTATTAAAAAAAAATCTGGCATGGAAAAAACACTCCACCATAAGCAAAATAACAAAATATGAAAAGTAGCTACAATTCATACACACAAAAGGCTAATCTCCTTAATATATAAAATACTCTTAAAAATTGATAAGAATAAAGAGCAGAAAGCTTAGCAAAAAATAATAGTTCACAAATAAGAAATTATAAATGATTTGTAAACGTGAAAAAATGTACAACCTTACTTACAAGAAGAGGAATGCAAATTAAAATTGCACCAAAGATACCTTTTTTTTTTACACCTACATGGTTGGCATGTAGGTTAACCAAAAGTTTAACTTTGCTGGTGAGACTGAGAAAACATCCTTATACATTTTTGTTGGGAACATAAATTGGCATAATCCCTAAGGAGGACATGTTTATAATAATTACCCAAATTACAAGTGACCCCACATTTCTTCTTTATCTTATTTACTTTAGTGTTACACGCAATTTTAATATATGCTATTATTTTAAGCCTAAAATTTATTAGTAATCAATTTTAAGAATGGAAGAAAAGCAATGACAGGGAAATACAGTGTTAATAGCAAAAATCTGGAGGAAAAATTGATAAAGATTTTAAAAAGGCAGACAACAAAAACAAAAGTATAGCCTATAGGGGCAGTTTAATAAAAGGGGAAGCAGCACTTTACAACTCAAAGTGGCCTAAAGCACGTAACTATTCACATCAGTGATCACCGATATACATAATGATGGTCTGAGTCACCAAGAACAGGTATACTTTGTTTAAAAGTATTTTATTTAAGGAGGTGAAAATTATGTGATATATTTCAGGAAGACATTTTTACTAAATGGTTATTTAAAGTAAACTTTTCATTTTCCAGAAAGTTTAGCATATTCTCTGAGGTTCCCCAAAACTGATGATTTTCTGAATGGATAGTCACCCTAACCCTACCCCAACCCTTCTTACCATATATCATTGTACTGGGTAGTACCTCAGCTAATGTGGGACTGCAATCAACCAGAAGTGAGTAACGCTAAAGAATATTTTGGGAAAGGAGAAGTGTTGATGGAGGAACATGCTAACAGGGTGAAAGTGGGAAAGGCTTTCTAGTTGGCATAGATGGTGCCACTCACCATATATCCACTTTTTCAGAGACAGGTTCATTTCGTATCACCTCTGGTGCCATCCACGCGACTGTGCCAGCGAAGGACATCTTGGTACTTTTATCGCTGAGTTCCTTAGATGTACCAAAATCTGAAATTTTTACTGCATCTGTGTGAGTCACTAAAACACTTTAAAAAGAAATAAGAGAACACCCAGAGCATTAGTCTAATGAAAAAACATGACTCAAATTGGCAACTGAAGACTTTGCTGCCCCCTACCTTGCAGAACTCAGCTCAACCAGTTCCAATATTACTAGGACATTAGTGATACACTGAAAGGGCACCATTCATACTGGTGAGGCAGCATAGCATAGTGGGCTTTTACACCTGCCTCCGCCACTGTGTGAGCTTTGCCAGCTTACTTAATTCTTCTAAGCCAGTTTTCTCATCTGTAAGATGGAGACAATTCAGTTTGCAGTGTCTTATCCACAATTTAAAACTGCAAAAAGCTCTAAAAATGGTGAATAAATATTTTTTCATATGTATAAGCAAACACACTTTATGCCACTTTGTGTGACTACCATAGGTTTTGCTACAGACATATGTACATGGCTGATTACAGGGTGTGCCCCAGTCTTAGCTGGGGGTGTAAGTAATGTGCTGTCACCTCCCTGAAATCATCTGACTTATCCAGAGTTTTGGATAAGGGATATGGGCCTGTAATAATGCCTCATAGAAGTTTTGTTTGAATTAAGGGAGATAAGTAAAGCACCCACGCTCAATAAATATTGGTTTCCACCCTGCCAGTCTCAGACAACCCAATAAGAAAACACTTCGTTTAAAACACTGTTTAGATAATGGCCAACCACAAGCATGCACGGATGGGACCATGATCCTAGGGAATCGTTACATTAAAAGGCTAATAACTATCCTGGGAGTCCACCAACAATGACGAGGAAAAGCAGGAATAAATGCAAGCTTAAGAAGATTCCAGACAACTCATGTTTTAGTTTTCATGGTAGTTTTCTGAAATGTGACCTGGGCAAACTGCTTTTGCCAGCTTTAAAGATGAATGCAATCTGGTACCAGGCAAATCCAGCATATTAACATCCTCACACGCCAGACTGAGTTCCCTTGAAACAGCCTGTTTAGAACTTAAGAATGTCAGTGAGTTAGGGTTTCACAGCCTTAATGATCTAGAGATCCATTTTTAACAATAAGAAGGCTTAATACCCCACTAGGATCAGAATCAAGGTGGCGAGAAAATAGGAAACTTCTCAATCTCTTTCCTTCCCTGCTTGAACCGGGGGCTTCGCATTTGCCCCCCTCCCCGCCATTGTCAAACAGCTCTCTGTTTACCAAACAGCTCAGTGCTTGAAACTGCTTTGGAATACCTTCATGCACACCCAAGCCCCGGCTTTGCACCTATATGTACAATTCACGTAACTTAGAAATGTTGATTTAATGGTGTGAGTCTTGGTGAAAACGCATAAGGATTAAAATATCATGGGCTATTTGAGATAACTGGAGAATTGATGGCATCCTAAACCATGAAAGTCAGAAAAGGTGATAAGTCCCTAGGAGGGGAAAACACTAGAAACTTCCCCTTCTGCCTCTTTTGTGCCTCTTATTATGGGACCTGTTGGCATGATGAGGAAAGGACAAAGGAGGGGACCAGAGAAGGTATGATGTTGGAACTTTTGTGAAACCTTTGAGATAAAGGTCACACAGCCTAAAGATATAATGTAGGTAATAACATCTCTCTTTACAGCAAGCCAGATTGATCTTTGTTTTTTCAAAGTTAGCTTGGAACCCAAAGAAGCCTAGGCTGCCGGGGGCTCAGGGTGGTAGTGATAACAGAGGGAAAAGCTTACTGGGTAACCAACTTATCCTACTCTTTAAATGACAGGAGTTAAAGAGAGCAGCATGTGATTTTTATGTATTCTAAAATTTCTTGACTTCCTTCTCTAAAATTACTTCTCAAGGAGATTACGATGATTCAAAAGAAGACCATTCAAAGCCTTTGGCAAGTATTTTATGTGTGTGTAGTGGGTGACAAAAGCAACAGGTTGGGTTACAAACGTAGACAGAAGGAACGAGCACTATATAATAAAGTTACCTGCAAGTAAATCAATAAGGAGGTTGTTCAGTGAGCTACCAATGGTGATAAATATCATTGAGAACTATGGTGATACATTAAAGCTCCTTTGAAGTTTATAATCAAGGACTGATTTATACCTTCCATGGAGAAGAGGCAGGATTCCTTGTGAACCCCTCACCTTCACACAATGATGTAGGAAGCAGTGGTCTTTGGTCCAAAAGTTCTGGGTTCAAGTCCTAGCCCCATGACTTTGGGCTCTGAGCCCTAGTTTCTCTTATATAAAATTAGAATAATGATACTTGTCACATCTGTCCCACACAGTTTATGCAAAGATCAAAGTGGATGTGATAATGGATATAAAAATATGCTGTAAATCAAAAAGCACATGCAAATATATTTAAAAAAAAAAAGATTAATCCTTTTCTGTTTCTCCAAACCAAAATGGGTTGAGAAATAATAATAAAAAGTTTAAAAATGGGAGCGACACTGAAATATACCATTTTATCAATTCCTTCCTTTCCTTTATGCAGTTCCAGGAACTGAAGAAACGCTCCTCTTAAAGGTTATTAGTAAGTAGCCAAGGAATCATTTTGAAAACAGAGATGACTAGATACAGCTTTGCTTCTCTTAGATGATCAGCTTGTGTTCTTATGGACACTGTGAACCTTGTAACTGTTTCTTTCTTTCTTTGCTTAGACCCTAAGAAACTCAAAGCCAAATACGTAGTCCACCTACGACAACGGTTCAGAACCTGAAGCTATGCATTTTGGGAACAAGCCTTAATTCTAACGTTTTTGTTCTCTCTGCCTCTGCTTCTTACTCATTCACTTTTATCTGATTGTATTAACACATTTCCAAAACTCAGTTTAAAAAAACGTTTTTCTGGGAACACACTCGGAAGACAACAAATCAAGCCTTCAAGTGAGGAAGTTTGGCATTCATTATTCAAAATGATGAATTATCAGATAACAAATGGCTTCATAATTGTACAGTTATAAAGCAACAAAAACGGAAAACTAGTGCCAGGTGCCTGAATGTATCCGTCATATAGATAAGTAAGTAGGTCAACAATAACCCAAAAGATACGTAGACAGCACTGCCCATTGTGCTGATTTAAACTGAACCAAAAGTGTGATGTCTGAAAACTTCAGCTGTGGTTGACGGAATTCTTTATTTCAAAGCAACAGAACAAAACAGCAGAAAAATTCGCACCAGTACTCACTTAGGTGATTTGAGATCACGATGAATAATTTTGTGCAGGTGCAAATAATTCATTCCACTTGCAATTCCCGTGGACCAGTCGACTAGCAAGCGGGGTGTGATCTTCCTGCCAGCTCGCAAAACCTCATAGAGTTGTCCGTGGGCACAGTACTCCATGATGATACAGTAACATGGGGCCTGAGTACAAACTCCCCTTTCAAGAAAACACAACCATGTAGTTAAATACAAACATAGAAAAAACATACATGTTTACATATTTGTATCTTAGGAGTATTTCATAAATTTAATCATTAAGACCAATTCTCTATCCAAATTGTTTTTTTTAAATGCACATAGATAATCATTCCTGATTCTTAAATTAGCATTAAAAACCCTCTAGTCTACAGGTTTCTTTATTATGCGTATAGACAATTTCAGTTTTGTTTTGTTCACGCTGGGTATCTACATGCTATGCTATATCTGGTGCTTTTTCTGTGGGAACATTCCACTCTGGGAAAAAGCACCCTTTCCTGAGGCCTTGTGTGGGCTGGATATTGCGTTGTTTTGATTGTTAAGGATAATTTAAATAGCTTCCTTTTAGAATTAAATAGAGGGTTTTATACATAGTGTGCAGAAAGAGAGAATTTAAATAAAATATTGCTATTTTTACTATTATTTGTTGAATTTTAAATTACTCAAATTGAAGACAACTAACTAGACTGAGGATCAAAAAAAGAATCAATTTTCTATTTCATATGTCTCATCACTGGGGTGTACACCTGAAAGTAATATAATATTATATGTCAACTGTAATTGAAGAATAAAAAATGACTTAAATTTATAAAAAAGTAAAAAAAAGAAAACCTAAAAATTTTCCCCCATATTATATAGTCTTTGAAAAACATTTCTGTTTAGAATAAAAATGACATTGCACAATGTGTTATACATCTGTGCAGCCTGTATGTCCATCATTTTCTACATCTTTCATACAGTCTTTCCTGATCATTCCAGCCCCAAAGATCTTTCTCTGCTCTCAATTCCAATGCCACATAGCAGTCATTAGTTTTTTATATGAAATTTTTCTCTCCTGATATAGATTACAGGCTCCTTGAAGGGAAAGGTCTTCAAGTTCTTTTCTGTCTACCACATGGCCTAGATGTTCACAGCAAGTCCACCACAAATAGTCCTTAACTTCACCTTAACTTTTTTTGCTGATCAAGCCTTCACACGAACACGTGCAGAGGCCTGGGGTAGGAGGAGGCGCATTAACATGAAAGAACATCTTCTGTTTGTCAGGTATGTTTAATTTTTACTTGTTTTACTTAGTCTGCTCCAAACCATTGTAAGATAGATATTACCTTTTCCCTTTTTACAGGTAATGTTCAGAGAGGGACAGTGACTTGTCCTAGATCAGACAGCTAATAAGTGACAGAGCCAGGATTCAAATCTGCCTGTTTAACTTCAAAGCCATGCTTTTTCCACTCATGTGCACCACACTACCCCTCTTTTTCCTCTTTAACTTCAGTATAAACAAGCATATTGGGGATTCCTACATTAATATTGTTACCTTATAAAAGTGGGAATAATCATATTAATTCTAATTCACAGTTTGGTTCTGAGGATGAGAAAAGAGAAGAAAAATGACAGTACTCAATTCTCTCTATCCCACCCTTAATGGAATATGTGCCTTCCTTTAAAACTTTCCAGAGTAGTTATTGAATGCAGTCTACCTACCAGACACCCAGCTAAAGCCCTCAGCCAGCTCTCAATTCATGTTCTGTCTCTTAAATTGCTGTAAGTGATGAAGGAATTTAGAGGCCATGATGGCTTGTGATCATGTGGAAGTCTTGTAACAATAATAGGTTATAAAGAAATTAAAGAATTGCTCTTCATTTTCCCTGCTTTGATGTGCCTGTCAAATGCCACAAAGCTATTTCTATTACTCTGCATCATTTTCTAAGCTACCCAGAATTATCATCTTGATTTTTAATGAAAACATTTTTTCAAGTTTCTGTTACTTGACTTGTAGGAAACCTCAGTGGAGCAGGAGTGTACACAACTACAAACAGACAATTTAATTTTCATCACAGAGAAATAATGAGTAAGGCAGGAATAATGTAATACGCTTAGAATATCAAAACAAACATCTGTTTGAAGCTCTTCAGCATCCTGATCTACTACATTTCAACTTGTCACAAACATAGGCAGAAAGGGTCCAACAGTGACATGTTACGAGCCTTCCATCTTTCCCGAGTGACAAATGAGAAGCAGTCATTCCATCAGCCCTGTACTATGACAAGGCTTCTTCCCAGCTATAAATAACAGCTCTATAATCACTTCTAATTGCTACCTTTTTGTACGCTTGCCACTCAATTCCATTAGGAACAGTCAGATTGGATTTTCTTAAAAGATTGCTTTAAAAAATTGGAAGAAAAAAGAATATAGTATTCTTTCCTTGCTCTATCCCTTCTGTACATGGTTCTTATTTCAAAAGAAGCTGTAAGCACAGACACCAGTATCCAGAGAGACGTACTAAAATCTAATCTTGCCTTCATGTCTTCCAGACGGTCGTGAATGATTCATTGGCCAAGCAACAAACACATGGCACAGATGGCTGCAGACTTAACACTGCACAATGCCTCAAGAGCATGGTGTAATGGGCAGGGACACAGTCTCACTATTGTTTCCATGTAGAGGTAAAGATTCAAGCATCTTCAGCCTAAAGAGTTGGACACCAGCATGGCAATATTTGTCCAAAATGCTAAAAAGTGCATATGCAGGGGGGCAGGTCAGAGGGTGAGGTGGGGG